AGGGGGAATCTCACTTACCAAAGAAGGTAAGTCAAGGGCTGTCCTTATAGGACTGTCTGAGTCAGAAAAGGCACACATACACACGCACACACACACACACACACACACATTACCTTTAGAGATATCTCCCTTTTACCTCTCCCCTACTTCCCACAGGATCTCAGGAATTGGATCCTGTTAAGAATCCTTCCTACAAACTGGTGGTCTCAGTGGAGGACATGGAAGGCCAGAATGAGAATTCCTTCAGTGATACCACATCTGTGGATATTACAGTGAAGGAGAACATTTGGAAAGCACCAGAACCTGTGAAAATCCAAGAAAATTCAACTGATCCTCACCCCATCAAAATCACTCAGGTAGTGCCCAAGATGGACCTAGAGCCCACTAGATAAATGCCTTCACTGATCCTCACCCCATCAAAATCACTCAGGTAGTGCCCAAGATGGACCTAGAGCCCACTAGATAAATGCCTTCACTTTGTAGAGATCCATGCTCATAGTTTTTACTAACACATTTATTAGGTACACTTTTGTATAACATTAATTGTAAATCAAATTAAATAGACCAAGTCTCTAGCCCCCAAACCTCTGGAGTTTACCACTATGGACAGAAAACTTGGATTGAGATATGCATTTGAACTTTAAAAGAGAATTTCTCTGGTTTTCATCTTCAAAGTCATTACTACTGATGTTCATTACTCCCTGTCGGCAGTATGGGACATGGCCACCCTGGAGTGCATATGGTGCGTCTGTCAAGTAAATGGTTTGGATTTGGGGTTGCAAATGTTCTTGAAAGGCTGCTATTTACTCTTGGGATTAAAAATCTCTTTCCAGTAGACTCATTCCATCAGAGGCTGAGGATAGAGACAGGATTGGCCCTTGGCACCCCCTTACCCCAATCCTGTCTCCTGCGTGTGCCTGTCCTCTCCATTCAAGTATCAGTCTATACTCTTGTCCCCATTTCTGCATCCCCCTCCCTTCTTACCTCCTAGAAATCCACTCTGGGATCCACCAGGTCTGTTTTCCTCCAAATATATGTTAAAGTTACAGACAATAGACAACCCTCATAGGATTAAATGAGATAATATATAAAAGCATTCAGTATTGTGTCTG